ACTATGCATTTTATAGCAGAAAACGTGGTTGCAAGGTGCTAAAAACAAAAATAAAGTGAAAATCTATCATATCTCGCGCAGGGACCTTCGATCCTAGGTCGTATAAGCTGTTTCAAATGCGGCAGAAATAAAAATGAAATGGTTAGGCCGAAGCGTGATATTTCGGTCCATTAAATAGAATGAATTATATCGGGGATTGTATCAATTTATTTAAGTTAACTTCGCAATGTCTGTGTTTTGTGGTCTCTTCATAAGAATTCTCCCTTAAGCAGTGTTCATTACTGAGGGCGTGTGAGAAGCCTAATGAGTGAAGTGCAGGTCAAGAAATGAGTACTAGATAATATAAGTAAATATAGAATGTGAAGATGAGTGGCAACTTACCTGTACTTCTTGGTGACTTGTTCCATCAGACAGCTTGTGCTTGTAGGCATAATGACCTGATGGGGCGTTTCCAGCAATACGATGCTTGGCCTCGGGTGGCAGACAGAGCTCGGCGAGTTTATCAGCAGTCTGAAGAGGCGTACAAATATATAATTCGAAGACCTGAGTTTCTTGAGTACACGAAAACGATTAAGAATGTGGCAGAATGTGTCAGACCTTTAAGCATAGGTCACCTAAGATGTAAGCCACACCAGTCTAGGGTGTCTAGAACATTCAATAGGTGATTCGTTTCAGCATACTTTGAGCTTAACTACAAGGCGTACGCTATGTAATTCCTTTCGGGCCTACTCTTTATATACTATAATTTCTTATTTAGCACAGATGCCTGTCATTTAATTAATAGTTTAGATCTGACTTTGATCAAATGCGGGTGAGCATTATTGGAGTGAGGAATTGGGAATACTGGCAGTTTACGATAAAAATTGTGCCGGCTGGCAAGTGTAAGCAGGCAGATGTACGATGTGACAATTTAATATCATCATGGCCATGACCTTGAGTGTTAACCATGAATGAAGGGTGTCTTCTTACCAGAATGTTGGCCATGCTTGTCAACCACGATCTAATACTGAATAGCTATCATAGGCGTTAGTCAGAGGCAGCTGCTACGAATGTAACTACAGTAATAAAATGCCTTAATTATGCCAACCCTGCCCAAAATTGAAACTGAAACGAGTGCAGATGTATTTGCTGATGAAGGCGAATTTTCCACTGAGTTGGCTGCCTCCGGAGTGATAAAAATAGACAGTGCCGTTAGTAATAAAGACTAGATTCTTTTAAAAAGAATAATATACAGATTGAGGTTGAGCTTGTAGAAACAAAGGATTAAATTAAACCAATGAGACAAATTTGAGAAAAAATTCACTTTAAATAGGCTTTACCCGAAACAAAGAATACTAAAGAGTGATAATGCTTCGAAAGCATGGGATTGAGTAAATAGACATAATTTGAAAAACAATTCCCATTATTAAAAAAACGAGCTTCAGGATAGGTTACGTAAAAATGGGAACCAGGACTAGTCGAGAATATAGGTTGGAATCAATAAATGCAGGTGCCATGCGAAGGCGTTCCTATAAAGGTAAGTATTTGGGAAAAAATATAAGAGTACACACGAAGCTGTTATAAAAAGCTAAAAAATAAGCCCTTATAATGCACGTTTACCTAAGATTAATTTACGTAAAGTTGGTTATCAGATCTATGAAGAGCATTTACAATAGAAATTTTGCTACCAGTTTAGTGGGCTAAATAAATATGAGTGGTGAGTACATTGCAGGTTGACATTTATAGAATGTAAGAGATAACTTAATCTGATGTAATAGACAATAAAGGAAGTACATCTATTAGTTAGTTTTAGACTGCGTATAAGTTGTACATAAAAATATGCTAAAATTCCGAAAAGATCCCTAAGTAGAGAGCTAATCAATTTTTACAAACGCGAGATACACCGCTCTGACGACTTATTTATTTATCTTAACTCAAAATTAGAATATTGAGCAGTACTGTGCATTTACAAAAAGGAATTCAATTTTTATGCATGGGAAAGGTACTTTAAAAACTAATTACCAGCCAAAAAAAGCGCAGAGGGCGTCTCCAGTGTCAAACAAATTAGCACTAATGGAATTATAAATATCAACAAATGTAGAGCAAATTTCAAGTTTAATATAAGATATGTCTTAGAATTAAGTTGCACGAAAATTAATACAAAAATAGTCCCTTGGTGGTGGCACCTTACTTTTCTAAGACACATATTTTCCGTCACCGGGAGAATCGGAGGACGCCATTGTGGTGGCTCATTTGAATGTGAAAAATAAAGGAGAAGGACCAATTGGCTATCAAATCGATTCCATGCCGACTTTTTGTTTGGGAACTCTAACATAAACTTATAGGAATCAACCAACCGACTGCTTTGCGAAGCGAATTAAACTTATCAGCAGTTGTCTGCCATTCCAACTCTGCTTCACGCGCAGAATCCAAAAAGCGTGCAGCTTCCTTTTCTTCTTTACCACTTGCTAGTTCAAGGCGTTTCTGATCGGCTATATGCCTCATCTCATGTTTTGATAAGTAGCTTTGTTCATATTCAATTTGGGAAAATAATTTTTGGACATTGTCTTCTATTGGCTTTAATTTTGGTGT